ACATAGTAGTGGCTGTGTAGCGTTTACCAGGGCGTCTATATAGTCTATATACATCTGGACTCATGTGTAAACAGTACAGACGTCCAGTGACGACGTTGCCAATCTCTGTGATCCAGAGCAAACCTCATTCGCGCTGCTTTGTAGTGCTGCGTAACGCGTGGTGCGCGGGCAGGTTTTCTAGGTTTCAAATTCGCTTCTTTTAATCTGTTTCTAACAGTTTGATCAGAAATTTCTATTCCATGTGCTCGTCTTAGGTCGTTAAGGAGGTCTCGTGCTGTGGCAGTACGCGTACGTAGACCAGAAAGGACAAGAAATCGGTCCTTTCCTGTCTACAAATAAAATTAAAAAAATTAATTATTCACTGTACTAATGATCTTCTTCTTCTTCTATACTTGGTCTGGTTATGGGATTTGGAGACTAATCCTTCTTATATCCCAGTTACAATGTCTATACAATTCTCTTGTCTCTGATGCGTAACTACTTACAGGGAGAGCCCCGCTGGTTCTAATAGTGGAAACTGAAATTATTTGGTTTTTCAAAAATAAACACTTCAACCGTCATGCGCAAACAAAAAGCAAACTAAAAGATTGTGATACAATAATTCGCATACAATCAAACCAACTTAATTAAATTTAACTTGTTATATCAGCTCTAGCAACTCAGCATAAAACTAAGAAAGATGAAAATGCAAAAAGAACCAATAAGAAGCAACGGAACTAAAGGTAATATTCACACATAAAAACTCTTCTCGGACCTAGGGGCGTAGACCCTTTACACAAAGGAATCAAGATACCCCTTGGTCTGGGACTAAACGGGTATCATTCCTGGAACATGGAAGAGAAACAGATTTCGTACACAAACCCAACAGTGATTAATTCTTTTGTGGTAATATATGTTCAAAAATATACTTTTGCTTCTCTCTAAACGATTTTCTTAGCGTTTTTAATAAACTTATAGCGACTCATATACTTTCTGACCTTCTCGACGCTAATGATTCCCTGAATTCATATGGGCGATTGTAATTCATCTGGGACAAATCATAGATCAGTGCTTGTCTTTGAATGTTATATTGGGGACTTTCAACAATAATGTGGTTAACATCACCAATCTCCTCACACTTGCAGAAGAGATCTCTTTGTCTAATTCTATGTAGGAATTTTTCTGTTACTGGTTGTCCTGTACGCAAGCGACAGATTACGGTACAGAAATATCTAGATATGTACGGATGTTCTTGGAACCAATTCCTTGCTAACACTTTGCCGTCCGCACGTCTTGTAAAAATTTATTCGCTTGGCGCCGGCAGCATATTCAGATCACTTAGATCCATACGTAGCGCGTATCACCAATGTGGTGATGCCGGCCATTGAGCGATAGTTTTTGCGCGACACTACTGTCGTGTCGCCGGACGGCATAGTGTTAATTGCGGTTGAATCCGCGCAGATAGATCTCCCCTTCTCTCTTGATGTAGTTTCCCATTACCTGGTCCATTCCTCTCACATCTAATCAGAATATTGATGTCTCACCTCTTCATACTCTAGTCGGACCGGTAAAGGCATTTGTTCCAATCCTCTTTGCGCTAAACTATCTGCCATCTCATTACCTTTTATCCCACAGTGCGTTGCCACCCAGCACATGCAAACCTTCCATTCCCTAATGAATAGCTTGTACAAGGTCTTTAATATGGCGAACAAGAGATAGTGCCCAGTTCCGCCAGACCGAAACTTATTAAGAGCTTGTAGGGCACTAAGCGAATCAGTGAAATTGATAGTATTCCTACTCGGTATCCGTTGATAGAGGTCGAAAGCTTTCCTGATAGCAAATAGTTGAGCGGCGTTTATAGTCGTATAGTACACAGTCGGCGTAATTGGGTTGGTAAGCTGGCACAATATTCAAAATTTCCCACAGTAGAGTAGAGAGCGACTCCAACAGCTTTGGGCTCTTTTCGTAGAGATCCGTCTGTAAAGACATAATTACAATCTGGTCATCTTTCTTTTATATATGCCATAAACATAACGTTTTACCCTGGTTCAACGGTATTTTAGTAGGCAGAACCTGTGCCTCCAGTTCAGTATTAAGTTTTCGCAACAATAGTATTAATGGACTATTACTCTGGCGCATATTTTTTATAATGAATCTTCTCGCCCTCACCTCTGTAAGGATTCTTAATGGTGGATCACCAGCCTCTCCCTCTAGTACGTTGGTCGGTGTGGTTCTAGGGAGTCGCAAGAGACATCTAAGTCCATGATATTTGATTCTTTGCAGTTGTTCTATCAAGGTCTTTGGCAGTGGCACTATCGTGCTAAGCAAAAATTCCAGTCTGGATCTCACTAGACCTTTGTATAGCATCCTCAGCATTACTGGGTCACCTCCCCACCTAGAAGAAGACACGGCTTTAAGAATATTTATGGTTGTATCTGCCTGAGTCGCCAAAACATGAGTCTGTTCTTACCAACTCAGTTTGGTGTTAATTCTAAGCCCCAGATATTTAATGGTATTCGTATAACTTATGATTTCTTCTCCCACCCTTATCGACGGATGCGGGACATTCCTTTTTCTAGTCAGGATCATCGCTTTTGTTTTGGTTTTAGAAATGCTCAACGTACGTTCGTCAAGGAATCCCAGAATATTCTCCAGTGTTTCGTTTATATATCCGAGACAGAAGACGACCAAGTCGTCAGCATAATATACGACCGAGCATTTGGTTGACATTAATAGGACATTGAGTCTATTTATGTAGATATTAAGAAGTAATGGATTTAAAGGACCTTGGGGTAATCCACGATGACTGATGCGCGCGCCCAAGTTCTGCGAATTTTCCTTGAGCTGGATTCTCCTCCATTGTGTAAGTTCATAGGTGACATTTACCCATAAATCAGGAATTCCGTGTCTTTTCATGATCTTATTTAGGGTAGGAATATCAACGTTATCATATGGATCCTGCAGATCGAAGAATACTGCAACCATCGATTGTTTCTTAACGAATACTAGCTGAATCGTTGAGATAAAGTAGGACGTGCAATTTTTTGCACCTTTTCCTTTTTTGAAACCAAATATTAAATGACAAACAACAGCTCATTTTCCATGAACCATTCCATTTTTCCTGTAATAATCTTTTCAAACCATTTTCGGAGACGTATCGGTTTAAAATCCTTACCATTTCTTACATTCCCCCCTCGTTTGGGCATTGGAACCACCACAATACTCATCCAATAATCTAAGAATAGGATATGTTACTTTATCACCCCCTGGCACTGTGTTTCTAAAACTTTCTAACACCTTCCCCATTTCCGTTCTGACAATAATCCCCGTAGTGGTGTCCTCCCTCCAATCTTAGGGACATAAGAATGCCATTTCTCATCCATTCCTTGGGTTCTTCCATGTTACTCTCTAGTATTCTTCAAGGATCTGATTTTCGCCCACACCTCATCAGCCGGAGTATTTTTATTAATTCCGCTGCAGAAGTTTCTAAAATGTTCTCTTTTTTTCTTCAATATAATTTTTTTGGTCACAGCCTTTTGCTATCATGTATTGTTCAGGTGCCTTGTCTTCCATGAATTGTTTAATTAGGAATCTCCGCAGTTTCAACGCCCTTGTGAATTCTAGATTCCACCATGGGCAGAATAAATATTCGTCCAGCTCTCCATCCCCTGTACAGGTAGATTTCCTCCGTGCATCCTCAGTACCTCCTTTGAGATCTGTGAGTGTGTTACCCTCTCCTGAAACAATTAGGCCTTCCACGTGTTATTGGAACTTTCCCCATTTTGTAATCCTCTTCATTCAAGTTGGCTTGATATGAAGGAGCAGTTCTAAACGTTGCTAAAATAGGAAAATGATCACTTCCTAGTGTATCGTCAAGAGTGTCGCATAAAGTTTCCATTGTCATGTCTGGAGAGCATATTACAGAACTTATTACCTCTTCCGGCGTTTTTGATCCATCTGTGAACATGCAAATATCTGCCTGAACCAGAGAAATTTCGTTTTCGATCCAAGACTGCCGTTCAGGCAATACAATCTGGTATCGAGAATTAATCACCGATAGTGATCCCGCCAAATCTGACGGCATTGGTAGCACAGTATCAGTGCTTATAATGTCTTCCGCAGCCCATTGGTAGGTCATGTCGGAACAGTTTCGAGCATATTGCTTAAATCTGTAAATGGTGGTTGTTGTAACTTTGGGTAATTATTACACTGATGAATGGTTAACAAACTATTTTATTCAGTTATTATAAATGTAAAACACTCTGTACGATGTGTATTAATTGATGCCATGTCAGTAAGTGAGTATGTGTGTGTGAGTTGTAAGCATTTGCTATTTCTACCTAGGTGGCGCCTCTGATACATTTTCAAATATAAATCACAACAATGTCCCCTCGCATTGTAAAGGTTTAATTTAAGTGGAGAGTTCCGCAGTCTCGTTGAACGACGTAAAACAGGTATTTCGTCTTTTTTCGTGGTCGTTGGTAGCTCTGCTTGAGATTCATCTTCTGACTGAATTCGGGGCTTTTGAACTGGAATTTGAGCCTCCTTGAAACCAGGAATATGTTGTTCTTCTACGGCTCGCTGGGGGTCTGAAACACTTTTTTGATTAGAATTTGTTTTAGGTATTACCTCAGTTTGGATAAAGGTTTTAGCAGTTTTCTGCAGTCCATTGTATTTCAGTAATTGGTCACGGTGACGGGTACATATTCGTCCATTGAGCAGAATGTTGTAGTGAAGTTTACCGGTTCTTGCCATTACGGTACCAAATTCCATTTCCTTGCAGGATTGTTATAAATTCTTACTTCTACACCTTCACCTTCTTTCAATGGGTAATCCATTTGTTCTTCTAAGGTTTTTCTTTCAGCTTTTACTCGGTTTTTAGTTTTCTTCTAACTAAACCCAATCTTGCTACAATGTTTCTTCCAAACATTAATTCCGCTGGGCTCACTTCTGTGATGGTATGTGGTGTCTTTGGATATTGCATCAAAAACCTTTGTAGACTCAGCGTAAAATCGGTGCCTTCACGCAGCTGGTTGCGTAATCGTTTGAACTTTCCTCTCCGCTTGTCCATTGGTAGCAGCATGGTAAGGAACGGTGACTTTATGAACAATACCATTTGATTTTAGAAATTCTTCGAATTCTCTTGATTTGAAATTAGTTCCATTATTAGAAACTAATGTATAAGGCAGTCCAAATCTCGCAAATATTTCTCTTCGCATCCCTATAGTTTTAGTTGAAGTTATCGTCTTTGTTGGAAACGCTTCGATCCACTTTGTATAGGCCTCTACCAACACAAAAATGTATTTTCCATGGAAAGGTCCAATATAGTCAACGTAGACTTTCTGCCAAGGTTTAACTGCATTCTCCCAGGGATGTACAATTACTTTTATCGGGTCATTTCTTATTTCTGCGCATTGAATGCAAGCGTGTGCTAGTTCTTCAATATCTTTATCAATCCTCGGCCACCACACATGGCTTCTTGCTAAAGCATTCATACGCGATGTTCCCACATGTGTTGAGTGTAACTCGTCCAATATATTCCTACGCAATGGCTTAGGAATTGCTACTCGGATACCTTTTAGCAGACATCCGTCTTGGACTGAAAAGTCAATAATTTTTCCATATGGTAATTGAAATTCACTATGTCCCTGTACCGCGCAATAAATGTGTCTAAGGATATCATCCTTCTTCGTTTCCTTCTTGATCTCTTCATGACTTATTGGTAGTATTGCTAGTTGTTTTATTTGAAATATTTCAGCTGAATCCATAAATTTATTCTTATCATTGGTCAGAATTGGAGCCCTTGATAAGTAATCTGCATTTGCATGCAGATGAATGCTATAGGTCTTTCTTGTCCGTCAGACGTGGTGTGTGATATTACAGCTTCCAAACCATACGGTGATGCATCCGTAGCCAAAGTCAAAGGCAATTTATCGTCGAAAGGCATTAAAATTCTTGAACTCACTAGCTCCTTTTTGATACTTTGAAATGATTTCTCACAATTCTTGGCCCACTTAAAACTCGTGTTCTTCTTCAATAAATCGTATATTGGTTGTAGTTTCGGTGACATATTCGGTATGAATCGCTGATAATAGTGTACTAAACCTAAGAAACTTCTAGTCTCGCTCACATTAGTAGGTGTTGGATTTTTAACGATTGCTTCAATTTTGTCGGATGATGTATGTAAATCATATTCATCAATATAATGACCTAAGTATGATATCTTCGATTCAAAAAAACTTGCACTTTTTTTTATTGAGGTGAAGAGCATGTAATCTCAGTCTTTCTAATACCTCTCTTAGTCGTACTAAAAGTTGCTTCTTGGTTCTTCCTCGGATTGCAATGTCCAAGGAAGACAATAAACCGTTGCCAGGCTGCTAGAGCGGTTTTGACTCCAAACATCAGCCTATTGACTCTATAGATTCCTTTATGTGTCAAGATTGCTTGCATCTCAGCACTCTTCTTGTCAACGTCCATATTTCCCTCCGTTTAATTTATGCAATAAATCATTAACTCGAGGTATTGGATAACAATGCTCTTCTATTACATTATTAATGGTGGTGTTATAAGCAGCACACAAACCGCCGTATCCCACTGAGCGTGGTCCATCTTTTCTATAACTCTTGCTTTTTCCAAGCGTTGTAGTTCCTCTTCCACTTGTTGTTTAAGCGCATATGGCATTTGCGTCGGCTTGTAAGAAATTGGTTGTGTCTCTTCCTTCTTCAATCTGTATTTATAAGTGTAATACGGAATTCGTCCGAGTTCGTCAGATAGGACATCCTTGAATTCTTGTAATATTTCTTGTTACTCATCTTGAGTGTCTCTCAAAGTTGTATGCATATCTATTGCTCGTACTTCTTTTGGATCTGTGGTAATTTTTTCCATCCAATGTTGTCCAAACACTTGTTTGAGCCAACTTCTTCCAAATATGACATCAACCTGTTTCTTCAAAATGTAAACTTGACCAGTTGTTGCATAGTTGTGATATTGTATTGGTGCTTCTGCTTTACCAATCGGTTTAATGATTTCGCCAGTGTAGGTGCGTGACGGTACCTTCGATGGTTGTAACTGTATACCCGGGCAAAGTTTCTTAAACTGCAAATTTGACATTGTAGAAACCGCAGCACCAGTGTCCAATTCCATATTGCATTTTTTTCCATTTATTTGAATTGGTAGCATTATCTTCTCCACGGATATTGAATTTAGTTACAATTGGTTCACCATATTGTCTTCATCCTCCCCTTCTTCTTCTTCAGGATTTGTATCTTCTGATCCACTTCTGTCCACTTTAACTTGCTTTTAATCGCTTTTCTTCTTAATTTTTGTAAAAAAAACAGCTTGTAAATGACCTTTCTTTTTGTAATTTAAGAAATTTAAATTATTGTAGGGACAATCCGTACTTTGTGGTTGGTTTTTCCACATCAAAAACATTTCCCTAGTAATTTGGAAACCTTGTTATTTTTGTAAGAATTTTTCCGGATTGCATTTACTTGATTTTGTTGGAGCTGCATTAAACTAGGTTATTTTCTACAGATTTCCATTGGTTTCAATTTGCACCATATCCTCGAATTTCGGATCTTTTTGCTGTAATAATCTTTCACGTATTTCAGCGTCTCTCACTCCTCAAATAAATTGAATTCGTAGATGCGTTTCGTTCGTAGAAGCCTTACATTTTTCGCACGTGAATTCGCAATTTATTGGTAATTTTCGTAATTCGACCACATAACACTAAATAATGCTGGCTTGTGACGATAGGAAATCTCGTAAATGTTTAATCAGCTGTTCGTATGATTTTGTATTTGGTAAGTCTGTGCCGTTAATTTTGGAAGGGTTTGTCTTGAGACTTAAACGTTCAATTAGAATTTGTACGCAAAGTTACGATTCAGTTGACTTATCCACGCCGCGTAACTGTAAATGATTATCGAGCCGATGTAAATAACAGTTGAAGTCTTCATTGTTTCATCATACTGTTGGACATTGTTTCTCCCGAAAATTGTACGTTGGTTTGAATTTCGTGCACGCATTGTTGTAAGAGCATCTGTTAGTCGTTTCAAAACGTCCTCTATATCCGTCATTTCGTATAATTATTCCACACGCAGTGTAAATGCGCCTTAATATAATTTCAGGAAAAAAACTTGCCTAGAGGGTTGTCAAGGCAGGAAAGGAGGCCCTTGAAACACAGGTGTAAGCTTAGGTGTTTTTAGGGTGTAATTTTGGGGTTTAACGTTTTTAACATTTTTATATCACAACTTCTGCTCGTCCATGTTTTGTATGGCGTTTCATCTTTTACACTACTACTTGTTCTGTTCAATGTAAACACTGCTGCATTTATTGCCTTTGCCCATAAGTTCTTATTTAATTTTTTACTATGTAATAATGTTCTTGCTGCTTTCACCAAAGTACGCATCTCGCGCTCAGTCCTTCCATTCTGCTGTGGTGTGTACGGACAGGTTTTCTCCTGTATTATCTTTCCTTATTATGGAATATGACTTATCATGTATTGGAGACATGTTTCAACTCTGCATTTACAAAAATTTTTTTACCAAAATGAAGCATTTTGCTTCATTAATAATTTTCTAGTGTGTGGTATATCTTAAAACACGAGTCCAAACACAGTCCAGCTTCACAATCAGGGCACCAGTAAATTGTTTCCTTCCTGCGTCCACGTTTGTAGCAAACAACACATCTTTTTTGCGGCTTAGCTTTCTGTTGAGTTGGAGGAATTCTTTCAATAAAATGATGATCAGTAAGTCTTGATAAATTTTTATCTTGAGAATGTCTCCCTGGAACCTTTCTTTGGACCTCGTTTGCATATTTCGCAAAAATTTGTTCTACTAGTTGAACTCGAAATTTTAAATGATTGACTTTTTGTTGTTTATTTCGTTTGTAAATGATGAAACTATTTAGTATACTAAGATTTAGTAACCTTCTAAATAGTTTTATATACCATTTATGTATTTTTTTTTCTTTCCAATAAATAGGCTTCTAACTAACATTTGATCCTTGAAATCCACTCCACCCATATTTTTGTTGTAATCTATGACACTAACAGGTTTTGTAACTTCTCTATTCCTTTTTATAATACCAGTTTCTTGCCCGTGATATGTCGAAATCATTTTGTTTTTTTTTATTATAGGGGGTATGTTTTTCCTATTTAGGCGTAGCGTTCCCACACAATCTGTACCCCACGTCTTCAACTGTTTCGCTAGTTCTACGGAATTATAAAAGTTGTCCATCCATAATGTATGGCCTTTATGTAGTAATGGTTCAACAAGCTGTAGAACAATTTTACAGGTATTTGTCATATTTGGCGTAATGAGTGGTGATGTAAATTCGCAATCTTTTCCGGTATTTTTTTTCGGTATCCAGTTGTTGATTCGCAAAGTTCATATGTCTTTAGCCCAAATTGGGTAGATTTCAGTGGAATAAATTGTTTGAAGGACAATCTTCCTTTTCACAATGTAAGGGGGAAGGAAGAACATTTCTAACATCGTAACATTTCTTCCACTGAAATGTTACGTCCAGGTAAATAATATTTTTGCAATACATTATTCAAATGCTTTATTACAGGATAAATTTTAAATAATTTCTTTGCGCCTTCAAAAGCATTGATGGTGTCATTGTCAACAAAGTGAAGAAAATTGGTAATTGATTCAAATCTATCCAAAGCCATTATTTTGTTAAAGATGGGGTGGGGTACACCCATTCAGCAACTTTTTCCGCCTCCTACGGCTTCTCTACTTTACCCATTACCAAATCGTAATACCCTTTGGCTTTCAATACAACTTGTATCTGGAACTTCTATGTGGACCAATTTTCTCCATTAAATTTAACGGACGATGTCCCTTGTTCAGTCATTTTTTTTTCTTCGGACGTATTCTTGCGATCTGGGCCCATAACCTGTTAAACAAACAGCAATTGTCGGGCGTTTAAATGTTTATTTATTACAAAGCACGAACTTCTTTAACAATAATAATTCACTATACTAATGATAAACCGTTAACTACTTCTAACTGCCTTTTTCTTGCTTTCTTAACTGTCAATATACATAACCAACCATTACCCGTTAACACTAAAAAGAACTATATTCTCCGAAACTCCCTAACTTAACAAGAAAATCTAAAAGAAGTTCCATAGTAAATGTCCAAAATCTTCTTTAAAAAAAATTAAACATACCTTTTCAGTTTCTCTTTATTCTTTTTTATATCGGATATTGTTGATGTTCCTACTCCGTATTTATTTGTCAACACTTTTGTATTTTCACCACGGAGTCTTTCTAATATATCGGACTTTTGTTTTATTGTTAGTGCAATATGTGTTCTTCTAGAATGTTTTCTTCATTGTAATACTTATTGTCACACTAGTTAGCAAACCTCGTAACTCCCAAATGACAAAATTTGTAGGAAACAAATATATTTATCTATCTTTACAGTTTTTTCAACAAGAACAGTCTCTATTCATATGTGTAACTATAAGTAGCTAGTTTATCAGTTAT